GTACAACAGTATATGTAAACTATGGAAACATATGTATGTATAAAAAAGATGAACTGCATGGGAATGATCATCAAGAAACTTAATTTATAAAAAGAAATTTAATTAAAGTAATTCCTTTTCAAGTGTGTGGAATTAAAGAGGGAAATGTAGAAAAATTCAACTGGATATATAATGTTTTATTTCTTAAAAATAAAAGATCTGAAGCAAATGTGACAAAATGTTAAGATTTGGCAAAGCTAGGTGATGGATACAAGGGTGTTTTTTGTATTGTTCCCTATATTTTTCTGCATGTTTAAATTATTTGATGATATAAAAAGAGACAACCCAAAAGCATTTGGTTCTCCTCTACTCGGTAAATGAGCTATTTTCTGTGAACCTAGACATATTACAAATTTAGGACAAATCTTAGAGCTACCGTGACTACTACAATGGTACTAAATATTCAGTTATATGCTCTACATTTTGTAGATATATATGGAGATAATATTCCTAGTTAATACTTTCAGTTGTCACTAGTTGAGTACATACTGTCTTCTGTTAGATTAAGATATTGCTACTTGTAAATGCATACGTTTTGACATAAACTAAAACCTGGGATGGGCTTAATTAAGCCAGTACTCTTTTCTGGGTGAGGGTAAATAATCTGCCTCAAAGTAACCTAGTTTCCTTTTTCATGAGCAGTAACTGCCATTGGTGATTGAACCAGCCACTGTGTAGCCCCTTTTAAAAACAAGCCAAGCTTTTATTTTTTTTCCTAACCATGATCAGAGATTCTCTTCATTACCCCAGTCTTTGGAAGGGTTCTGAAGTTGGGGAAATTCATGTACGTGCTGCAAGACTTTCCCAAGACTCTGCAGAAGAGAGTTTGAAACTCGGAACAGGGGAGAGCTGCAGAGGGGTTAATTAAGGCAGTGGTGTCTGGCAACTGAGCTGCTCTACCTTCAAACCGAGTTCACAGTGGCCTATAACATTTATACATAAATCAACAACCAAAATAGAATTTGCTCAAAAATCACACTCACGCTTACTTTAAGGAATGTACTCCGATATTCCTTATTCTAGTATCTTGTGTATCAGTAGAAAATTGCCTGTTAAAATACCCTGTATTGATTTCACCAGTCGCCAGTGATTCACATACTGGAAAGTTGTTCATGAATTATTTCTATGACTATTGTGTTCAAAAGTCCTACATTCCATGAACATAATCAAGTTCTTTTAGAAACCTTTTATTATTCTACACCTAGGGAAAATTTTTTCCTATGGAAAATTCTTATCAATGGAAATATTATTTTTAAATCAATGATAAAGCATTATAGGGTAAGAGAACACTAAAGTAGATATGGTTTCTCATATAATTTCTATCTTATCTCTATAATCTTGCCCCCCAACGTTGCTTGTCTGGGGAAAAAAAAGTCAAATGAGGAAATTTATTGGATTTCACTCCTGTCTAGGAGTGAAAATGGCCAAGGCATAATGACATGGAATAATAGCATTTTACTTATTATAAATGAAGTGACAGGGAATTACACCCAGAATTTACCAAAGTCAACTTGAAAAGAAAAGAGGATGGAACAATGATATAACAGTTTTGACTTATTAATATAGCATTTAGCATCATATTTTTAAAGAACCATAGATATTGGTACGTAATTCCATGGCTCACCCTTAGGGTAGGTCAATACCCAAGTATACCCTACCAATTCTTTATGACTATCTTCTCCACAGTGTCCTAACCTCCAATTTATTTCAGCTAAAATATAGAGTAATAAATAATAAATATTTAATAAATAAAACATTTCACCAAATAATTGTAGAACTGTCTTCAGGGAGAGACATCTGGAACTATACCCGATTCACTGTTTGCTGAACTTACCTCTCAGTGCATCTCTAGAAATGTTTCTATAGAACTTCCTTAACAACTCAAACTCTTGCTCAATTAATTTCACTTTGTGTATAAAGCCCTCTCAAATGTTATCATCAATTTAACTTGAACACTATGAAAATACAGGTGCAAGGTCTTAAAAACCAGCTTTTTGAAGCTGACACTGATTCAGGATTATGAGGTCAAGGAGGCAAGCAAAACATGACTTCAGTCATATTCATGTCTATCTTGTGTATTTTTGTTCTGTGATTTGTATTTTGTTATTCTGTACTTCCACTAGGGGTAAAAGCCTGATGTTATGAGGGTTGTTTGCTTCTGTTACAGGTTTAATAACATCTGTCATCTAACAATACCCAGCAATGAGGTTTCTGAATGAATTACCTAGATTATATTGAACTTTCCATTTTTAGCTTCTTTTTAAAAATGTAGTTGTTTTATAAAAATCTTTTCCAAACACATAATGATAATTAAATTCTAGTAATGGTTCAAAACTTTCATATGCTACTAATTTTCTAACCTTTTTAAAGAGAGAATAGTATTTTCTCTATGCCAAAGATCAGTACGAAGATGAATTATTTTGCTGTAGAAATCTGTAATATGTTGAAGAAACAAGGGGCTGATAAATGTGGCTGCCCTTTGGAATCACCGGAAAACTTTAAAAAAGTACTGAGAGCTGGGACCCACTCCCAGATTCTTTATTACTGGGGTGGGGGGAGAGGGGTTTAGGCATCAAATGTTCTGAAAGCTCCACAGCTAATTTTAATATGCACCAATTTTGAGAACCACTGATCTAAATATTTGATACTCAGTGAAAGATCTGAGACTGGCAAGCATCAGCTTTACCTGGAAATTTGTTAGAAAAGCAGAAGCTTAACTCTATCCACAGTATCAGGAACACATCCGGAATTCTTTTTCTATGAAAATAAGGGACCAGAACTTTTCCATCCTTTCCAACTTTAAAATTCACATTCTATAACCTAAATAAGATACTGAGAAGCACTTTTAAACTTAGCTAGAATTCTTAACCCATATAAATTAGAGACCATTCCATTCTCTCCAATTCCACAACTCTCATTCCAAAAACCTAAATAAATGCAATGCTGAAGGAATTTGAAAAATTGTGTCATAATTCCATCCTCATACCTTTCCATGCACTTTCTCCTGCCTAGAATTCCTGTTTCCTTTCTCTTTCCTTATTGGAACACATCATTCAAGACTCCTTTATGAAGCACATCCTGAAAAATAATATAGCTTTTCTCTAAAATTCTATTGTTGATATAATCAATTCCATAGAGTTTAGTACACTGTTTCTTTCTATTATGACTTATGTATTATCTTGTTTTCCAATCAAATAATGAGTGTCTCCAGTGAGAAATCATGTTATGTTCCTTTTCTAGCCTAACTTAATGTCTAACCTTAGTGAGTTATATATTGTTAAAATGTATATGGGAAATAAAATAAGTTTTTACCACTCTCACCGAATTCCTTGTTCAAAACTAGCCCATTATTAACCTTTCCACATAATGTAAACTCATAATGCAAACATCTTACAGGTTCTTGAACATCTAGGTAAATCACAATTGGCTATGACTTTAGACTCCTACTCTTTTCTTCCTGCTTCCCTGAGGCTTGCCAGACTGAGGATAAAACTGCTTCAAATAGCATAGAAACTCTACAGAACAAGCCTCTGCTAAATAGTCCTACAGTATACCTGTAGTCGACCTCTCATATTCTTTAGCTTCATGCCTGTCTTACTCACCATTACGTTTCTATCATAGTGTTTGGCACATAGTGGGCATATAAGTGAATTATAAACAGTCTGTCAACAAACTATGTAGGAACAGGCAATTTTGAAAATATACTGCTGAGCTCATGACAAAATTTAGAAGTATGATTTTTCTTGTAATAGCTCCTTTATAATTTTTCTTGATACGTATATATTTCTTTTTTTTAAGATTTTATTTATTTGACAGAGGGAAAGGGAGAGCACAAGCAGGGGGAGCAGCAGACAGAGGGAGAGGGAGAAGCAGGCTCCGCACTGAGCAAGGAGCCTGATGTGGGACTCGATCCCAGGTCCCTGGGATCATGACTTGAGCCAAAGGCAGATGCTTAACTGACTGAGCCACCCAGGAGCCCTATATATTTCTTTTTATGACACAAATAACACAATCATTGTAGGGCGCCTGGGTGGCTCAATCGTTAATTATCCGCCTTTGGCTCAGGTCATGATCCCTGGGTCCTGGAACTGAGTCCTGCATCGGGCTCCCTGCTCAGCAAGGAGTCTGCTTCTCCTTCTGCCCCTCCCCTGGCTCGTATTCTCTCTCAATCTCTTTCTCAAAAATAAATAAAATCTTTAAAAAAAACCCAAAAAATAAAAACAAAAAAACACCCCCACAGTCATTGTAGAAAACACAGATTAGGTAAAATGAAAAAAAGATGTAATACCTGAAATTGCATAACTATTGTTAACAGGTACATGTCTGTCCAGATCACACACACACATATATATATATATATATATACAAATAAATACATATATATTTACATACATAAGCTATATATACTATTTTACATATATAATATGTATATACATATATATACATATATCTATTAAACCCATGTACTGTTTTAAGCAGAAGATCACACTTGATCTACTGCTATGTACTCTGCTTTTATTCAATTAAGCATATATCAAAGCATCACTCCAGCCAACAAATCAATTCATAATAAAATTTGTTTATGATGGTTACATTAATGGACGTGCCAAAATTTATTTAATCAATTACCTAGGCTTGGAAGATTATGTTATTTCTACTTTCGGTAATTACAAATAAAGCTATGATCAACAATCTCTATTACCAATTGTCCAAAAATTTCCTTAGAATAAAAATCAGGAAGCAGTTTTGCTGATTTTAAAAGTTAGGCACATTTTTAGGGCTTAAGATAAAACAATTTGCCAAGTGGACCTTTAGAAGTTTGTTACAAATGTGCTCTCTTGCCAGGGGATGAGAATTGTCTAAAACATTTAATCAGCAATGCAGCCAGCTCTATTCTTGGCTATAATATTTATGAAATAGTTACACAGTGTGAATAATTGATGCAGTTGGAAAATACTCACGTTCTTTTTGAGGATCGATTTCAGGTTGGAATGATCGAAACTCATAATATGGTATCTCACGTTTGAATATGGATGTAAGAATATCATCAAGTTCATCAATGTCTTTCTGTTTTCAAATGAAAAGGAAACTTCTCTTAGTTCAATTATTTACATAGAAACTCATCTTAGTGCAACATAATAAAAATTATTAGCTGGAGTAAATACTGGTTAATATTTCTAATAAGACTGACACCTCTTTTGAAAAGTACAAAACATTAGGGGCTTGACTAAAACTCAGTTATTTTTCTTAATTATTTATTTATTTGAGAGAGTGAGAGAGAGAGCATGAGCTGAGGGAGGAGCAGAGAGAGCAGGAGAAGCAGACTCCCCACTGAGCAGGACCCAGGGATCATGACCTGAGCTGAAGACAGATGCTTAACTAACTGAGTCACCCAAAAGTCAGTTATTAAAACAACGGAAAAATAGATGCAATAAATAAAAGTTTTTGCGTCTGGGTGAATAACTTTATTTAAATATTTACTAATTTTAACAAAGTATTACAGCAGATCAATGATAACACTGGAATTTGTTTAAAAAATAAATTCTGTTAAAATACATGTTACATTTTAATAAATGAGGTAATAAAATGATGAGTCTGGTTTTTCAACTTAAAGATCAGAAATGGTACAGTTTTAAACTGATTATTTCATTCCTGTGTTAAAATGAGGGAGAATATTCATCTTGGTCTCCCCCTGCCCCCAGCTATAGAATAACTATATGTCTACTCTATTTCCCTAAACTGAGCATTTTCGGATGAGCCATGTAGACTCATACTACTGGTGGCAAATCCATTACAGACCCACCATTCTTTTAAAATTGTATTTTGTGAGCTATTGACTGTGACCGATTTGACTTGAGACATAGAGAACTGTATCTGAGGAGGTGGGCCAATCAACAAAGTCATCAGGTAGAGAGAGGTTTGTGGAACAAAAGTTCCTAATTAAGATTTTTGTATGATTTCCAAATAAAATTAGACTTCTTACCAATACACAGTCACAGAAATTAAATGCATGGATTGAAAAAAAAAGACATTTTTGTTACTCTATTTCTTTCAATAAATCTGTGTGCCTTAATTAATAAAGTGGTCCGGGCTTCTCTGGATTTTTAAAAGTCCTCCTTAAAAGTGGGGAGAGACGATGAAAGTCTTCTCAACTTATACCTATAGAATGCCAAGCAAAAACAACATTAATCTTCTTCATGCTATGGCTATGGACTATGTGAAGCCATTAGCTCTGGAGCATTTTTTTTTTTTTTTAAAGGGAGGAGAGATTCAACAATAAGTTCTGCCTTCAAGAAATTCATGGTCATCTAATTACATATCAGCAATGAATGAGTTCTAGGTACTATGATAGAAAATCTTCATGGGTCAAGTACGGTACAGGGAAAAGGGGGATAGCTCAGTTCCACACAGGATGAAATGGTCAGAAAAGGCTGACTAGGGGACATGAGCTAAATGGAGATTGCCATGCACATAAAGAGCATTCTGGACTAAAGGAACAAATTGCATATAGTCGTGGAGGTATCATAGAGCATGATCTGGTTAAGGATTTTAGGAATTTCCATGAAACTGCAGAAGAATGAGAGAGAAGGAAGTGGGCATTTCAAAAAGTGTTTTGTATATATAATAAAAAGTTCATAATTCAAGCTGTGAGAAACAAGGAGTTGTTTAAGGCCTATAATAGTTAACATGGAAAGGTTTATTATGTGGATTAAATTAGGCTTATTTACATTACTGGCAATATATTTACACTTTCTGTATACTAAAGCTAAAAAAGAACATGTCTCAGCTATACGAACTAATGAAAGAGACCATGAAAATATTAAAATCATAACATTAGTTTATAAATATTTTTTAAAAATTGTGCCATTGGCCACGAGAGTTCTGCATAGGTTATTATCTAGTTAATGATATCTGTATGAGGAGATAGACTTAGTATTTCTTCCCCAAAGTATACAAGATTTAATACAGACATATTGAGTTACCACACTCATGTATAAGTTAGGCATAAGATCACCTCTGAGATTCCTTCCAGTTCTGAGATTCTGAGACACAGATGAGAATTCAAAAGAGCAAGAGTTCCCAGTAGGAATCTGAGACGTACCATTTCTTCCCCTGAGGCACTGTGACACTTTAATGTGAGAAATGTTACCGCTTATAACACTGAATTTAAAAAATGCAGTAGCAGTGTTTTTAAAATCAGAAGAAGAAGAAAAAAACCTTCACCATATGGGCAATTATTTAATTAGGAAAGAATGTAGATACCTTTTAATATTCCAGTCTACCATAACTAGTTGAATCACGTCTATTTTCCATTTCACAATTATATTACTAGTATTATGCCTACAAAAAAAATGGTATAGGACACAAAACAAACATACGAAAAATCACAGAAATGGCTATTAAAAATAATCCCAAAAGGATCTCTCCCTAGAAGATATCCTAACTAGAAAAATCTGATATAAGCAGTTATGCTTATTTTTAAATTTCAAGGACACAAATAGGCATCCTTTCTAAACACTGACATTGAAATTCAAAAATGCCATAAATTTTCCTCTCCTTAAAATAAATTGTGCAACCTAAAACATACTTAATGAGATTGATACAATGGTTGTTCAAATAAAGAGATTAAAATAGAGTAGCTTAACATTTATTCAGCAACACTTACAAACATCCTAAGTTTTTAGTTACTAAGGAGCATGTGAAAATTAGGGTAGAATGAAATGATAAAATTATGTTGACACTAGTATTTGGTTATAATAAAAATTATGTATATATAAATAATATAAACATATATACATATGCATTTTTGCTTAGATCTATGCCTATCAAGAATATTAGAAAAAGAATTTAGAAAAAACTAAGCTATGACAGAAAGATACTACAAAATAATAACTTTGTACATATGAAATAAATATATAACTTTCTCCAGAATTCTTTCAGTGTCATGTGAGGAAATGTGGGATTAATTAATGTACTTTTAAAAAAATTATTCACATACATTTTATAAATCACGACTCTATCTGAATCTGAAGATACATATATATGTGTATATATATATAGTTATTCCTGATAAATGACTTTATTATAAGTATTTCTTCCTAAAAGAGAAAAATATATAAAATATCTGCTTTAAAAGATATTTAGAATTATGGAATTCCACTTCTGAAAAGATGGAGTAGTTGTACTTTCTCCTTTTCTTCTACTTAAATACAACTAAAATGTCCACATTTTAATAGAAAATCAATGGTTATACCAAGAACCAGGAAGATCTCTAACTGAATAAAAAGAGGCAATCAATAAATGTCAATACCTAGAGGACAAAGATTTTAGAATCACTTAAAAAAGATATTAAGACAGTCATGATAAAAAGCTTCAACAAGCAAATACAGTAATTCTTGAAATAATTTTTTTTAAAAAAGCTTCAGCAAGGAAGTACAAAGTTTTGGCAAAGAAATAGAAAGTATAAAAAAGAATCAGTTGGGATTTTTAGAACTGAAAATACAATAATCAAAATAAAACCTCCTGTGGATGGGCTCAACAGCATAATGCAAGGGGCAAAGGGAAGAATCAGTGAACTTGGAGATAGAACAATGAAACATACTCAATCTCAACAACAGAGACAGAGAAGAAGGAAAAAAAAAAATAGTGTCAGGGACCTGTGAGATTATAACAAAAGATTTAACATTCCTGTGATCAGAATCCCAGGAGGAGAGAAGAAAGAGGCTGGGCATGAAAAAGTACACAGAGATAGTGGCTGATAACTTCCTGGATTTACCAAGAGATAAACCTACAGACTGAAGAAACTGAGCAAACCATAAACAGGGTAAAGCCAAAGAATTCTATTCCAAGAAACATCATAGTTATACTTCAGAACATTAAAGACAAAGAAAAAAATTTGAATGAGAAAACAATACCTTACCCTACAGGGTAAAAACAATTAGAAACATAGTAGTAGTAGTAGAAAGAAGTGGCACACTATTTGTCAAAAATTAAAAGAGAACTATTAACCGAGAATCATGCCCAGCACAAGCATTTTTTAGGAATGAAGTGGCAATCATGACATTCTCAAATGAAGGAAAAGAGGAAATCTGTTGCCAGCAGATGTGCCCTACAATAATGGATAAAGGAAGTTCTTTAAACAGTAAGGATATGATAAAAGAAAGAATCCTGGAACATGAAGAAGGAAGAAAGAACATAGCAAGTAAAAAATATAGGTAAATACAATGGGCTCCCACTTCAAGAACCTAACAACAACAACAAAAAAATTAGAACAAACTGAAAGCAAGCAGAAAGAAGAAAATTATAACTATAATGCAGAAATCAATGAAATAGAAAACATAAAATAGAAAAAAGTCAATATAACAAAGAGATAATTCTTCTAAAAGATTAGTAAAGCTGACAAACCTCTAGCAAGACTGAAGAAAAAAGAGAGAAGATACAAATGACAAATGTCATGAATGAAACATGAGATATCACTACAGACCCTGCAGACATCAAAAGGATAATAAGGTAGTACAGTGAACAAGTCCACACACATATTTTGACCAGTTAGATGAAATGGACAATTCCTTGAAAAACACAAACCAAACACAAACCAAAACCAAACGCATAATCTGTATTATTTCTTTCAAATACATTTGCATCTGTAATTTCTAGTAAATAAAAGTTTAAATAAATACAAACAAACCAGGAAAAAAATGAACCAGAAAAATAAATAAAAACAAATCAGGAAATATTCATTACACAAAGCTGAATTCCCTGAGATAAGTATCTATTTACATAGCAGCACCCTTTCAAAAAGTCTGATGTGCCTCTTTCTTGAATAAGGGGCATCAACACAGCTTGGACATGACTGCATTGAGAGACTGTCCTTAATAGGATTTTAGAACAATATCATATAATTGAAGCAGTGAGGAGATATTTCAGATGTTTGGACTGGTACGAAAGGCTGTATGTTGCAAGTGTAATACAAGTCTATATAGTGAAACAGACTCAAAAGAGTTGAGGTAGTAATATTAACTAAATGCTGGGCACCTAGAATATGCTAGGCTTTACATAATTTGTCT